GGAAGAGCTGCACCTTCCAGTCCTCATCTGGCCTCGGCCCGATGGCAAACGTCGCAGTTACCCAAGACTTGAAGCCGCTCTGATCCATACACGCAAGCCTCACTCAGGTGTCTCCAGCTAAGACACAGAGAAGAGACCCGCCCCACCCCCGACCCCGGGGTTCTCACCTGTACAGGTTCACAAAGTGCTTCCCGACAGACAAGGCCCCCGAGTGCAGGTCCAGGATAGACGCCTGGAACAGACGTTGGCAGGGCGGCGTGAGGGCTGCCTGGCAGGCGACGGGGCTCTAAAAGCCACCACCGTTAAACACGTGTTCCCAAGACCCATCTTTGCACACCCGGGTCAGGGCGACAATGCACACGGGCTGGGTTTCAAGACATTTGGACAAAGGTGTGTGACGGTGGATATTTCTCTCCTGCCCTAAGAATGGAGACTCTCTGGTCTAAAATTCTGAAAACAGTCCACAGATACAGTTCCTCCATGGGTCTAAGAACAAGCCCTTCCCCCGGCTTTGCTGTGGTATAACCAACACACAACGACCTGTTCCTGTTTAAAGTGTTCAGTTTGATAAGTTTTGACGCTGGCATGCACCAGCGAAACGACCATCACTACCAGGCTAGGAAACACATCCATCACCCCAAATTTCCTTGCACCCTTTGCAACCCCTCCCTCCTGCCCCTCCCCAGGTGCCTTCTGCCACAGCAGCTGGTTACTTTCTAGAACCTGAGGCCCTGGAGTCACGAAGGTGCATTCGCTCTTGGCCTGGCTCCTTTCACTCAGCATTGCCTCCCTGTGACTCCCTCACGTCAGTGCAGGTACCTGCCGCCCACTGTCTCATGGCCAAGGGGCACCCATCGTTTGGGTAGGAGTCACTTGTTGGTCCATTCACCTGGAGATGGACATGTGGGCTGTTTCCAGCTGAGGGCTGTTGTAAATGAAGTGGCTGTGACACTGGGACAGCATTTCATCGTGGGACATGCTCTCGTTCTCCTGGGTAAATTGCCCAGGAGCGGAATCGCTGGGTCATAACTCTTTAATGAACAGCCAGTGTTTTCCACCCCTGCCCACCCTGCCTCCGGAGGGCCTTCCCACGTCTTGAGAGGGGAGTGGCCGCCAGCACGGACCACCTCTACCCTGTCTGGGTGTCTTTTCTCACGGATGCAGCGATCAGCCCAGGGGTTTGTTTGAACACAATTTGGGCTTTAAAAATGTTAACTGCACTTAAAGGTATCAAACCTGGATGATTCATTGCAAGACAACTTCCCGAGTAAATGCTGAGCACAGGGTAAAAGATGAGTCCACACACGAATAGGTTTTTAATAAATATTCCCCCTGAACTGAACCAAAATAAAAGAAGCTTAATTTTCAGAACTCAAGAGGAAAGAGTCTGCAGAATAAAAGACTCATGAAGATAATCAAACTACGCCGAGGAGAGTGGATCTTCCTACGGGCCCACATGCCAGGCGAGGAGATCCCCATTTGGGACCACAAGAGAACTCCGGCCAACGTAAGGTGCTCGCAGGGGTGGACTCCTAAGCCTGCCCAGGAAGTGGATGAGATGCAGAGCTGCACTGGCCTGTCTGAGCTCCCCATGGTTGCTGTAAACAGTAGGCTTAAAACAGCAGGA